GAGAATAAATGAAGTCTTTTGTATGACAACAGCCATATGAAGGATGGAAAACTGTTTCAGTTTTCAGAGGTATTGTGAGTAGGGAGCTAGGCTTCATTTATGAAATTGTTTCATGTGCCTGTTAGCCCCCCACAATAAGCTGTGCATATTCACAGAAGCCCATACATACTGGTGGGCCAAGATGCTGTGTTGATACCTCAGAAACAGGAAACAGGAATGCTGTGCTAACACAGATCTCTCCAAACACTGTTTTCTGTAACTCCTGGATCAGTGGTTACTGTTTTGGCAAAACCCAGTGAGTTCAATGTAAATAGTCTTGTTCCACAGGGAGGTTACACACCCAGCAAATTTTTTCCTTCCTTCCTCCCACCATTTCCTATTGTAGGAAAAGACCTCCCTTTTTGCTTCTTTGCGTAGTCCTTTTCCCTGGACTTTCCTTTCTATTCTTATGTTCCTGCATCGCTGTTTATTTCCTTTAATTTTTTCTCCCTCTAGAATGTTTTATCCTCCGGAATTTCCTTCAGGAACACTCTCTTGCACATCATTTTCCCACCTTTAGAGAACATCCTGTCTTACACACGTGAGACTACAGGTGTTCAACACTGAGGAATTGTTTGTCATTAACTCAGAACATTAATGACTTGCATATGTATTGCTTTCCTAGAATTACTAATGAAACGATAGTCTTGGATAGCGGAAATAACAGGGAGTAAATAAAAGGGAAAGGCAAATAAAATAACCAAAAGAGAAAAAAAGTGATCTCATGCTCTGTTGCCTTTCTCAATTAGGAAGCACTTTGTTACTGATGTTATTAAGGTCAGAGGAGGGAAAAAGAATTTATTAAGGTGCATATTTGTTGAGTTTGTTGCTAATAAAAGTTAATGGAATTAGGAATATTCTTTTCTTTTTTGGCCAAATATATTAGTCTATTTTCTGTGCAATATATATTTTCCTGCGTTTGTGAAAGTGGAAGTAGAGTAGAATGAAAAAGGTCAGGAAAATAGAGGAACCATAAATAATTATTTAGACTGCAGATGAGCAGAAAAATATATAACCTGGAATCTTTAAACACTGACTAATGACACAAAAGCACGGACAAATACAGTAGCTGCAGTGGGCAAGCATTGTTATTTTGGCTTACAATTTCTTCAGAGATACCTTAAAGCAGAAAAAATTTTTAGATATTTGTAAAACAGTGATTTTCATCCACTGTTTCAGAATCTTATAATAACTGAGAGCAGGCAATTATAGAAAAGCTTAGTCTTTGTGGGTTTTGGTTAATTGTTGGAAGTGTATCAGCAATGCTGCTTGAAATTAAATCGTATAGATTCTCAGTACCTTCCACATGAACATCCCCAGCTTTCCATAAGTGCTGTCATCCCCCAGATCCCTCTTGTGTCTCTGGGGACTACCCTGGCAGCCTCACCATGCGCAGAACCCTTGCAGTCCCCTGACTTCTGCTTCTGGCCTCCACACTAAACCTCACACATAATTAAAGACTTGATTGTTTTAGATGCTATTCCCTGCAAATGCGGAAGACCTGCTGCTGCCTGTCTAAACCACAGAGCCTCAGTGGTTTTAAGGCTAAGGAATTACTGCCTGTTTCTAAACAATGAGTTTGAGTAAGTTTCAAGTGTGTTCAGTCCTCCCATGCTTTTCACTGAAACACAGCTCCTGAATACCTGACCTGAATGTGAATGAGTTACAAAATTATGTTGAGGTTAGTAGTTTTATTGGTCTCATATTAACAGTGCAAAATGCATCCAGTATCCCCTCTTCTTTCTGTATTTTTCCTCTGCTGAAGGAAAATAATTTTCTTAGTTATGTCTCTTCAAATTCTGTATGGGAACAGTAGGAACAGTGTCTGCTCCTTCCACTGGTGCTATCTCATGATAAGGTTGGGGACAAGTGTTTATTTTACAGCAGACCACGTCTGGCTACATTCTGTTTTGTGCCTTATAACCTAATGTCTGTAGAAAAAACCCACCACACATAAAAACTCCCTGTAAATTTAAAGAGCTTGTGTATTTTGGAAGCGGACTGAATATTATCCTAACAGAGCTTGCAAGAACTAGGCTTTTTTTTTTTAAATATCTCACTTCATAATGAGATCCCTCAAACTGGTGTTTGAGTCTAGGATTTCATATAGATCTTCTGCAAAATGGCCTTAAGGGAAAGAAACACTACTGAGAAAGACAAAGCAATGTGGGGAACAAATTCCAGTTAGATGTTTCTGAGAACAATTCTGCCAGAAGAAAATGAATTTTACTTTTTGTATTTTGGAGGCACTTCCTAAAACTGAGCTCACCAAAATTCCTCCATCTCTTCTAGAAGTGAGTACCTGTGATTAGAAAGGCACTGTGGTTAAACTGTGATTTGGAAAAACATGGCTTTTCAGTATTGTCTGTAGTCATATACTTTCTAGAAACAGGACCTTGGTGAGGAAAGTGGTAGTTCATACAGATCTTTAGTATTTGTTACTGAGAATGTAAAAAAATGTAGCAGTTAGTGACAATTTTACTGGTATCTCTTCTTTCTCCCATGACAGACAATTATCCATCATGTAATAAATGCATACAATGCATTGATTTTATATATGGTACTCTCTGGGCTTTCCACCTAAATTTATACAGTTTACAGCAAGCAACCAATCTTGAAAAAAAAAGAAAAAAAAGAGTGAAAAACATCAGCAGTTTGTATTGTATTTTTTTAACATCTACACGAAAGTAAGGGAAATAGATTGAATTTCAGCTGACAACCAGATGTATAAAACACATGTATTTTCAAAGACAATCACACTGAGGAGATATTGCCTGCTTATCCAGAAGTAATACCATTCTCTGCAGCTGGCAATAGGTGAATCTAAGGTCTCACTAACCTCAGAAAAAATCAGGTCTGTTTCTACTCTCTCCTTGTCTCTTCTGAATTCAGCAATATGGGACATATTATTATACAACACCTAACAAAGATGAAAAACATTTTTAAAAGTTTGGCAAACTTATTAGATGATGTGGTGGATTTCCTACCATCACATGTGTTAAGTAAAGACTGGACGGATGTTATTTCAAACATATTACGGGAAAATTTCTGGAAAGTTCTGGGAAGAGGCTAAGTCTATTTGCTCAGATTTGACTTTCCAAGAGGAATTCAGTTTAGCAACAAAAAGTCAATACAGTGACTTTACGGAGGTAATGTGAATTTACACAGTGGCAAAAAATCTGCTCATCTGGAAACAAATCCAAACCCAAACCATCAGCATAATGCTTCCTCCTAGTTAGACATCCCCAAACATCCTAAAATTGTCAGCAAAGTTCTTAAGATCATGACACGAATTACAAAAGCAGGATTTGTTATTTTTTAGCAATAACTATTAATATAATTGCTACAGTTGTCTTTTATTTGCTTCCTGGATTTTTATACTTTCAAGTTTGCTCCTCAGTCACAATGACAAGAAACTTCTTTTTTAATCTTAAAGTTGATATTTTCAGATAATTGCTTCATTACAACAGTGGAGGCCTCAAAAAAACCAACTCAATGGGAAAAGTTACAAAATGGAGTAACGAAAGGTAATAACAGGAGTGACTGAATTTAATAATGAATTTGGACATTTGAAAGCATGTAGAGCAAAAGCACACACCCCCAACCCCTAATCTGATGAGCATTTAACTTATTTTTTAATAATTTTGAGTTGGTAGAAAGTAGAATTTGCAAGCAATTAATTCAAAATATGCTCGAGAAACCAGTTATTTTATGCTATTGAAACTAAAATATGTCTCAGTCCTGCTTATTCTGATTTGTTGAGTTTCTCTGTTCGTAACTGACACACTTCCTTTGTTTGCTAACTTTAATTCACACTTTAGAACTTGAAGTAGTTTTTTTATGTGTTGTTAATACAACAATTTGGAAGCTACTGGTAATTACATGGTATAATTAACTCTTAAATGGTTATTTTGCATGGTATATTTTGTCTGCAGTTTATGTTCTTGGTAGTATGAAGCATGGTGTTGGTAACAAAATAAAATGAGAATGAAGAGACAAAGAATATAGAGTTATGAAGGAAAATAGAGTGAGAATGTTAGGAAACTTACAAAAATTTTAAAGACGCTAAAAGGAAAACAGTGCATGAAGAGTGAATTTCAGAGCCTCAGAAGTAAAATACAGATACTTACCTTTAATATATATAATGGTCTACCTTTTCTAAAATAATGGTACTTTTCTTTCACAATATGTCACATTTAAAAACAAGTTTTTAGAAAGATGAGCTAATCATTATAATATATAGAGCAAATAACTGCTTAAATGACTATGAGACTATGATGAAAATAACTGTAATATGCAGATAAGTGTAGTGATCTATAATTAGGATAAAAATGTGATATTTTTGATTTTATGAACTTGATTTTATTTCCGTTTTTGAAATATCACAAAATTTTTATTTCAAAAGAAACTACCAATTATTTGTTCAGGGACTTTGACAAGTGGTATAGACAATATTTGACATTATTTCTGACTGAAAGATCAGTGAAAACAAAATAATGAACCAGTTACCTTTCAATCATAGAATCATAGAATCATTAAGGTTGGAAAAGACCTCTAAGATCATCAAGTTCAACCATCAACCCAACATCACCATGCCTGCTAAACCATGTCCAGAAGTGCCAGATGTACACATTTTTTTGTACACCTCCAGTGACAGTGACTCCACCACTTCCCTGGGCAACCTGTTCCAATGCCTGACCACTGCAACATTTAACTCCTACATGCCTTTTAGTGTAACTTTTTGTTAGTCAATAGAGGCAAAATATACTTCTTAGTATTTATTAAGAAGAGAGATATCCACAAGTGCTGACTTTATTGACTAATTACTTTTTCTAAGCTTAGGTATAGTAAATTACCATAATATTGAAACAGGATTTTTATGCTCAACTTAATCTCATAAATTATATTGTATAGTAGTTGAATATAAAAATATCCATGGAAATATAGATATTACTACTTACCCAACGGACAGGAAAGGCTCCTTTGATTCAAGTCTGTCAAGCAAATAAGAGAAGTTTTAAATATGTATGTATTTATTGTATTTCAGAACATTTATAAGATGAATATAAAGCATCCACTTTCCGTATCAAATTTGCGTGGTGACCGATATGCAATTTAAAACAGAAAGGCCTGATCCATTATGCTAGGAGCTTAACTTAAAAAATAATCCCATTTACCTAACTGAACTTTCGTTTAGGAATGAAATATTTACAAAGCAGCATATCTAGGCCCTTTAAATTTCACAGATTCAGATGACTTATGTAGGTATTTACATGGAAAGGCTAGACTGAACTAGTGTTACTTTGTCCTTTTTCTGAATTTTTCATGTAATATGTTTTTTTCTTGATGGCCGTGATTTAGGGAAGATATCAAACTTTTTTTAACTTTAAAATGAAAATTTAGTATGAGTGTAAGAACTGTCCTCATCTGAAGTCTTCCACACCCATTGTGTTTGCTTTCCAACATCCTCTATTCATATGACGTGGTCACTTCTTTATGAGAACTTCTGGCCCATCTGCCACAATCAGCCTTGCACAGGAGCTGTGTGCCACTGGTTTAGTTGACCCGGAATCGTGCCCAGATCTAAAACCAGTTGTCAAAAGTGTCGTTCTCCAACTCCCTGCTGTCTTTGTGAGGAGCTGCACTACTTGCACACTGGCACGAGCCTCTTCTACTAGTAGTTTCCAACCAACCAGGATAGATTTAAAAATCCTCATCGGTGTTATTTTACTGTATTTCTGCTCCAGTACTTGCAGCTGACTGCCCTTAATTTTGTAGCATGTCGTGGCTGCAATGAGTTTACTAATATCAGCTGCTTGTTAGGACCATTAGCATGTGACTTTAGGGTCCTTTATAAATATATTTAAATCAAATTTACAACCCAATTATTTTGAGATGTTACGTAACATGCAAATAGTGCAAAAGCTTTCTATTGTACTGATTTTCACTGTGAGTACTGTACTAGGAAGAAGAGCAAATTAAAACCCCAGGTACTTCATGTCTCTTTGTAATCTTTAAGAAAAGTGTTTCTAACAAAGCGAAGCATATCATACCTGGAACTGAACATTTCATTTATGATGACCCCTCCCATCCGAAACCAATTCAGTCCCACAACAAAATATTGTAAATAGAACTGTAAACAGGACTAATCGTAAACAAAAGTAAAGTAAATAATTAGTGTGTGTTTCAAGAATGAACATTTCCTGCAAGTGTTATTTGTAGAAAAATCAACAAATACTTTTGCAGTTATTTGATTAGCAAAGGTTTTATTAAAAGAAATCACAAACCAACAGATGAGTTTAGCTACTGCCATCAATCCAGAAGGGTATTTAAAAAAGGTGAACTTGTCACTGTGCTTTTGAAAAGATTATATGATTTTGTCTTTAATTAGAAAAATATTGCATGCCATCTTTTTGCAAAGCATTTACTTTTTCCTTTCCAGAATCACTAGTGGAAACAACTTAGAAGCCCATCTTCATTGACAATGTCATCTTCTGATGTACTTTAAACCTTATTTCGTGGGGTTAGGTTTCCAGCAGTGGTAAGGACAGCTTGCATGAAGTTTGAGGAAAGGCCAAAATGGATCCAAAACGTAGTAACTTTTGTGTTGTCCTCATCGCTATACCTGACCTTTCCATTTCTTTCTGGGGTTGTTATCCACATGGAAGTAGATGAAGGCATCACCGATGGACTTGCATGTACCTGGAAGTACAGTGGAAGCCCAAAGTTGGGTATCCCTGGGCACAGGGGGATGCTTGTCCAGGGCAGTCCTAGTGCTGTCACGAATGCTTTCCCTCCCAGACTGCAATGCCATACTCCAAAACCCTCACAGCACCATGAAAATGCTTAGCTTGGCATCTTCTGTGCTTAAGCAGTACTGCCAGAGAGCAGTAAAGTGATGGAGCCCTTCGTGTGTGTGACTGCATCCTTCTCTTGCAGGCTTTGTGCTGCCACCATGCGAGCTTCATGGACCAGTTTCTCCTTCTGTGGATCACACCATTACAGGAAAACATCTGCACCATCTTTGCAGCTTCTCTCTGATGTATGAGGAAAAGCCCAACTAGTGTTATGGTTTTGTTTCCTGGTTTTCTGCTTAATGAAATGAACCAGACCTGTGAAGTACCCAGTGTTTTGTCTGAGAGACTAACTATAAGCAAAACGAGCAAAGAATGAAAGCCTCAGAACATCGTTACATACTTCATAACACAAAAATTCTGTAATGAAGAGAGACCTGGCACTATCCTGATGGAGGATATTCTGGTAGATTTTACTTGCAAATGAAATGTGTGTGATAGAATGCCCTGTGGACAAAAAACTGCAATTAAAAATCTATTTGAAGTCCATTCTCAAGATGAAATTCAATTTGATTTAAATAGCACTGCCCTGAGTTTGACCCCCCTCCAGTATATTTGACTAAATGGTTTTAGATAATTTGCTGCATTACATTAAATTAGCTCAAGTGTTCCTCATAGTAGAGAAATACAATTATCTGTTGGCCTTTTATTTAAATTGGTAATTCAGTATATGGCAAATTAATATAAAGGTTTTAAAACTGCAACACCATATAAAATAACATCCTATATCATCTTTACAGGTGACATTTCTTAATATAAGTTATAGATTTTTTACCTTTCTTTTCTAGCCTGCAGTACTCCAAATTATCCAGAGTTTTGTGGAAGTCTTGCATGGTTAAATATGATATCTCAAAAAGAGTAACCATGATAAGCTGTGAGAAGGGCTGTCATACACTTTCAGGAAAAATATTAAAGCCGAAATTTTCTTTCTTGCAAAAATATATTGAATGTGCAAGAAATAGTAGGCTGGACAGTAAACAAGGGAAAAATGTTTTAATTATGTAGGAATGGCAATGAAGCTGGAGTGATCAGAATTTTTGTTTCTTTCCTGAAATGATTTTCCCATCAGAGAATTTCAGTTTGTCAAAATGACAAGGCAGTACGTCAGTTTGAATAGGAGAGAGGCAGGCTAATCAGTAGTATGACTGGGACATGGCAGACTGAGGTTGCGTTTCCCTTTGATTCTGAGCTAAGATTGTCTGAAAGGTCTGACTTTCTTATCTACATATAAAGGACAAGTTTTTGCAGGAGGAAAAAGGATTTGTGCACTGTGTTAATTGCTCAATTAACATCAGTCACTGTAAACAAAACACAAATAGGCAATCAATTTATACCTGTTGACATGCTACAATACTGTCACAATGTCTAAAATAAGGATCCTAGAAATTTCCCATTTAGTATTTCACTAATTTCTCTGTTTTGGAGAGACATTTTACAAGATCTGATTAACATAATTGTGCATTTCTTTATTTTCTTTGCTGCTCAGTTTGATTATATTAATGCCAGTTCTCTAATTACCATCTTTGACATAGACTGAACATACAGATAGACAAATTTTTCAAGATTTGCAGAGAAACATACAAGGAAAAGTGACTAGACTAAGGGCACGTGAATTACTCTTTGACTTGTAAAGAAATCATTTACAGACAGGAAAATCCCAGAGTAAACTCCACTTTCCTTGCATAATTGTTCTATTAATATTATAGGCAAGATGGCTTTTTATATCTGAGGCCTGAACCATGATACATAAATAATATAATTTCTTGTTAAATAATTCTCGCCTCTTCTTCCCTAAACCTATTTACGGAGCAAAGTGGGTAACTTTTCTAACAATATCAGCGCTATATAGAAGCAAATGGATTTTAGCCAAGTATTCTCGAAGGTAACTCGTTATGAGTCAATATATTCTTCCTTGTGGTGATCATCTAATTTCACCTCTAAGGAGTTAGTAAGAAAAATGTGGATTTTAAGGCATATGTTAGGGTTCTTATTCTGACTTTTTAGTATATTAAAACTATCTGTGCTGAATCAGGGAAAGTGATAGTCAGGAAACAAAATTTTTTTAGATGAGTTACCATTTTGGCTTGCAATCTTCAAATAAGAATTCCCAAGGAGGATAAATTGAGTGTGTTTCTGACATCACACATTTTCTGTTTTACTGTAAAACATATGAATAGTGATTACAGTTTTCAGGGAGTTTGGAAGAATTAATATCTCTAACAGAAATCCAGAGACTTCAAGCTTTTTATTCAAGCCATGTAGGAAAGTCAGGCCAACTAAATAGCATTTTGGACTTAAGTCATTTGATGAATTGGCTGCGTAGTGTTAATGTTATGTTGTATGACTGATGTGACTGACTGTCTTACCTGTCAAGCATGTCTATCTTTTTGCACTGTACAGCTTTAGGAACCAAACACTTAGCAAAAATCTGTGAAGTCAAAGAATATTCAGATTTATTACTCACTTTGTTTGCCAATGAATTTAATTTTAAAATGACAACCAAGGACAACTCAAGGGACCTTTCAAAAGAAATTGAGGTAGTTTGCCATTCACAGTGATTACATAGGGTTGCATCTTTCTCTGCATGTTGACTTCATGGTTTGAAGTTAACTGCCATTAGTGATCAGAAAACATCTTCAGAAATTTTTAAGCAGCATTGCTCACTTTTTGTCCTCTAATTCCTTTCCTTTTTAAAGCATGTGCATTATAACTTTTGGTAGCTCCCACTATTTGCATACAATGCAGGCAAGCCTAATAAAAGCATGTCTTAATTTACAGAAGAAATATTTTTTCATATAACTTTCACTCTCTATTGAGACTGAAATAGCCATCACTGGTGTACACTAGGTAATTATCTTTCCTTCCTTCCTTCCTTCCTTCCTTCCTTCCTTCCTTCCTTCCTTCCTTCCTTCCTTCCTTCCTTCCTTCCTTCCTTCCTTCCTTCCTTCCTTCCTTCCTTCCTTCCTTCCTTCCTTCCTTCCTTCCTTCCCTCCTTGACATTTATAATAGTTTCTGTGACTTAAATTGAATTTCAATCTAAGATAATTTTTCTGGACATCAATAACTGTTGTCAGATAGAATTAGGGAAGAAGCTCATTCTGTCTTCTGAAACATCCATAAATTTCATTATAAATGTTGTC